CCCAAACACATGATGTGGCCCATTGTCGATGTCTTTTTTTAAAAATTTCGCTTTTTGACTGTGGGTTAAATTTCCATTATTTTTCCAATGTTCAATTGCCTTTTTTATTCCATACCTAAAAACAAAACAAAATTATTACGACGACAATATTTATTACTTAGCTAAATTTTATCTAATTCGAAGCTTATTATCTTTTAAAAGTTTTCTTAAAAACCCAGGTACACCTTGTCACTAGAACTTTTTCGCTTCGCTGCCATTTCATTAATTTTATTCAAATAATTTCGTAAAATGTGGTTTTTACACTCAATCTTTTTTACCAAACAGTTAGGTCCATACGGTTGAACAATACTTATTTTTTTTGTGACCGAACTATCCTCATCTCCAATAACTTTACGGTAAATTAAATTATGCATATTTATGCTTTGTTTGAATCCTTCAAGTATTATATCTGACTCCATGGCCGTTGACGTGCCTTCCTAGTTTTGTAGCACTTATGTGTTGAGGGTTCCTTTGAGGTTGCTTCTGCTTTCACACAGACTGAGCAATACTTGAAATCGATTTCAAATATCTTTAAAATTCGTTATAAATCTTTCAGAAAATTAAAATCAATATCAAAATCGTTAATGATTGATAATGATTAGGCTTAGGGACTTCTAGCATTTTCATATTTTTTTTAATTATTGTTAATTATAGCAGAGTGCGAAATAAATTCGTTTCTCGGTGCCATGATATCAGATCTAAAATTTGAATGTGCATATTTTTGCATATTTGATAGATTTTACAGGAGAATGCTTATTTTAACATTATTATGCTTAATTTGCATATTTTGACAAATTTTTCAAATTTTATTATTTAAAATTAAAAACTATAAATACATATATATATATATATATACATATTTCAACCGATCGAAAAAAAAAGTACTAAGAAGACTTAATACTTCCAATAAAATGCTATCTGCAACTACCTCTCATATCTTGTTATAATTTTTGTGTAAGTATAAATAATACTATAAATCCGTATCGGCCGTATAAAGGTCGATTCACACATAACAGTGACGTGACGTGACGTGACATCAGTGAAAAAAAAAATATTATAGACCATCGGTTCTTAACCTTTGTGTAGTGGCGATCCAAGATATTTACCAAATTTTTCCTGCGACCTTTTTATAAATAATATTCAATGGCAAAATAAAAAATAACTATTTGGTACTCTTAATTGAATAACATTTTTTACTCATATTACTTGTATTCATAACAAGTCATAATATTAATTACATTATATTTAAAAATAAACATTTCTTTTAATAATATTGTATTGTTTTTTAAATAATTTTTAATTTAATGACTTCCTTGGTCTTGATGTTGCTTTACCAATGAATCAATTTAGAGTTCTTCTATGGAGTTAGTTAGTGAAATACGCATCGTGGGTTCGACATCAAGCTTGTTTCTTGATTTGGTTTTGATTGTAGTTAATATCTTTATTACAACATGTAAAAATATTAGTTGATGGCCTTTGCATACTCAAATTTAACTCATTTAATAACGAAAAAATATCTGATAGATACGCAACTTTTGTCAACCAAATTATATCTTGAAAATGGATGGATAACAGTGAATTTTTTCTCTTAAAAATACTTCTATTTCAGTTCTTAATTCAAAAAATCTCGTTAAAATTTTTCTCCATGATAACCAACGTACATGAGGTTTCATTTATTATTTATAAGACTTAAAAATAAAAATATTATACTAACGTTTTAAATTTTTATCCGACCCATTTAAAATTATTGGCGACCCAAAATTGGATCACGACCCTATGGTTAAGAACCGCTGTTATAGACCGTGATAGACAGTGCGTGTTCAGACGCGTCCGACGCAGTGAAGCTCCGGCGTTCACAGTGCTCGTCAGGCACTGATCCGTGATAAAAATAAAAATACGTCGTCGCCGATATTTTTTGTTTTTCACGGACATCCGTGACCAGTGTATTTTTGTTAGTTTGAATTCGTGGTCCACCAATTCTCTATACAATGTTGCAAATTCTCCATCGGTGTCTCGAAACTTCCATATAGGATGAATACAGTGTCTTCTTTTTTCCTTCTTTTCGTCCTGGTCCAAAAGCAATGCTATTATACTAAGCTCTTCTATACTAAAATTCATAATGCACTTAAAAAATGAATTAATTAAATAAATAAACACTAAAAATTAAATTAACTTAAAAATTCAATTTTGAATAACAACTAGATAGTAGACATTACTGATCACGAGGGAGCACTGATATAAAAAGGTACGATATTGTGAGGATGGAAGTGAAAAATTCATCACGGATAGCACTGAACACGGAAGGTTAAGGTAGGGACACACTATTATCATGTCACGTGAGGTCACGTCGTTATTTCGTTAACTCACGTCACGTCACATCACGTAGGTATGTTTGAAAATGGTCACACTATAGTCACATCACTCACGTGGTTTGGTCACATTTGATTACACAATGTATTGACTTTCATTCAAGATGGAGTGTGCTAGTTCAACTAGTTCTTCTGATTGGGAATATGATTTAGAAAATGTTGCTGCTTTTATCGTTATAAGTGAACAAAAGAAAAAAAGGTCAGAATGTTGGTCCCTATAGCTGGTCAATTTATAATTGTATAAAACTTCGTGAAGTCTCACTTGTTCTATTAATTTTTCTTCCATATCTAATAAAAGCTGAATTTGTATAAAACAAGCTTCAATTTTCAACCAGTCAAAGTTCAAAATCGAAATGAAATGTGATATCACGTAACATAAAATATGTGAAACGATAGAAAAATAGAAACATGATATCACGTGAGGCGCAATGAAATATTACAATATCACGTGAGTGGGGGGTAATGTGTTTCTAACACATTAAAACAGTACGTATTAATAGATTTCACATATTAATCGTGTGACGAGACGTGACGTGAGATAGGAAAATAAGACGTGAGCTCATGTGACATGATAATAGTGTGTCCCTACCTTTACGGTCACGTCACGTCACGTCACGTCACTGTTATGTGTGAAACGACCATAACCTGCTGCATATTGACCGGGTGTCGATAAAGATAATAATAGTCAGTGGCGGCATCTGGGGGGAGCATGAGGGTGCAGTTGCACCCACGACAATTTTTCTAGGGGAGCAAAATTATCATTTTGCACCCACAGACAACAGTCAAAAATATTATATTATATTTTAGTTATTGAATTGCAAATGCTAACAATAGTAATATAATGTAATTTTAATTATAATATATGTTACTAACAGTAATTGTTTTCTATTATTATTTATGTTAATAAAAATAGGTTCCTTATATATTTATAAGTTATAACTAATATTTACAATTATATATTATACTAATTGAAATATATAATAAAGTTTTACATAAAGATTTTTTTTATTGCTTTTGTAATAGTAGTAGTTAAATATTAGGTGACGTGGAAAAACACCCCCCCCCCACCAACCGGTTTGTGAATCACCATAAACGTTTACACCCACATGAGTTTCTACCAAGTGCCGCTTATGATAATAGTAATGCCAATCTGTGATTTTTTATGCCAATCGCTAATCGCTAATGCTAATCGCCATACGAAATATATATATATATATATATATAATAGTAATAATAATAATAATAATAATAGTCGATATAGAATAATAGATTACCTGTTTAGTGTTCAGTTGAATCAATTATTATCCGTCGTTGTTTTTGCGTCTCGCAACCACACTTGTCGAATCATACGTAAAACGTATGTGATAATTTGTAACATTATGTTATGCCGAAAGTACAACAGTTTACGAGTAGCCGACTACAAAGTTTTGTTTCGGAGTTTAAAAATATATTTAATTCCGATGGACACGTTTTATTTTGTGTACTATCTGGTCATTTTTTTTTTTTTTTAATGCATATAAATGCATATTATAATGCATATTTTAATGATTTTAGAAGCATATTTGCATGCATATTTGTGTATTTTTTAGATCTGTAAGTCCCTAAACCTAGTAATGATTTTCAAAATTTATAATGAAATTGAAAAAAATGAAAATCGATATTTTATATCAAAATCATTTTAATAATTAAAACGATTTTAAATCGTATTAATTTAAAATTCAACAGCCAACATCTATTTATATTGTCAATTCGTAGATATTGCCATATTTGGTAATAATATTGATTATACATAATAATAAATAACTAGTACCTATTTTGTTTTCTAAGAATATTTACGATAAGGAATCAGCGTTCGATGAGCCATTGTTGTTTTTATACACACGATTTATTCCATATAATATAATTTATATAAACATTTGGTAGTGTATTATTATGGATAAGATATTAATTTACAATACTCTATTGGCTGTCACCCATGAGTTATACTTTTAACTAATAATATACAATCAAATAACCTAAAATAGTTTTATTTTGTACTTTTGAAATTTTGTTAGACGTCGTCGTATTTGTCCCATTTATACTCGTAATTTAAAGCACTGTGTTCATATTTAGTTAAATTATGTCTGACTCTATAAATAAAAAACTTTATTTTACCTTTTAATCATTTCACATAGATGTATCCCTAGTTTACTTTATTTTAGCTTCACTTTCATATTATGTTTTTTTATTTTTGAGACACTTAAAGTATAGTTGTGGTTTGTACGAAATGTTTTATAACATAGGTAATTAAAAAGTTGATTTAAAATATATGCGGATAATGTACTAAAATTTGAGAAATTATTATAAGTCATGGATAACATTCTATCGTGAACCTAAAATCGAAAAAAATAAATACCGATTTTTGAAACCAAAATTGAAAAAAATGAATATGGATATTCAAAATCATAAACAAAATTGCAAAAGATAAATATCAATATTTGAACCAAAATCGGAATAAAAAAAAAAACTAATATCAATAATCAATTGAAATTAAAATTGAAATTTTTTATTTCGACTTCAAGTCTTGGTATTTTTATTTATGCATTGATGAGTTTAATAATTTCTTCTTACAACTCCAGACAAAACATTGTAATTAGACTTGTAGCTTCTTTTCGACCAAGTACCATCAGCTATGACAGTTATCATGGGAACTCCGTCTTCTCTTACATCACCGTTTGCAACTGCCAGTTTAGCCTCTTCCTCTGCTGCTAGTGACATTGCCTCCCAAGCTGTTTCACTAGTAAACTTGTGAACATCCTTGTGTAGCTTCTGGTACAACTTGTTGTACATACTATGCATATTCAAAATAGCAGAAAAAGTTTCTAGCTGAGTAAAACCTTGCTCTGAATTTATAACTGCCGTTACTATTGATGTATTGACGTCCATTAAAGACGAACTCGGATTTTCGGATTTATAAACCTCATGTCTGTGACACATGTTACATGTAAACAAGAATTCACTTAAAAATCCAGTTTTACGCTCTTCGACCAAAAGTAAATTATTAAAATTACAACCAAATGGTTTATGGTTGATTTCAGCAATTTGCTTGAATACATAATCCATATCAACTAAACGTCGACCCTCAACATTAAATCTAAAAACAAAATAACTGTTGGAAAAATTGCAAACAAGTGGATACACCGTATTTATATATATAACTTACAATTGGTTAAGACCATAAGACGTTTTTGTCAGTAGAATGGCTACACGTTGATGGTGTATCTAATTGTTGTGTTTTAGAAACATTTTCTGTTTTATTTTTTAAGCCAAAACTAAACATAGGTAAATAAAATAAATAATTAATATTTCATGAACATTATTACGTATAATTAATGTATTAATTTGTTTAGAATATGATTCACTAACCACTGTATAGTATATTACTATAGTAGTAGCCGTGTTCTATTTTTTATACATATAGTACTTACCTCATATGTTTCCGTCCTTTTTTCTTTTGAAAAAGTTGTTATATATTTTTTTTTGTTTTCCACATCTAGTATTATTTGCAAAAAAATAAAAAAACATACACAATTCGTCATATAATACGTTATATTGAATTGTAAATTAGAGTCGATCGTAGAAAGCAAGAGACTTCAACAATTATTGTGATCTTCAGTTGATAACAATAATAATAAACACAATTCATAACAGTAATTCTATGAAACGATAACGCATGGACTAATAAGACGTATAATATACAAATAGATACACATCCGATAACCCGCAGTCAGTGTAATTATTTAATTTTATCTTATTATAGCTCATGCACACTAATATCGATTTACACACTCACATTCATGCACAGTTGGTGCGCCGCCGATACAACATGTGAATTTAATTGCCTAAATTTTCTCCTTAATAAATGACCAGCACCGACCCCCTGAACTGCGGCACTGATATATTTTTGTTCATATGCCTACCTATAATACCATTGGCGCATACGAAGCCGTGGAGACAACAAAACTATTTCGCCTATGTTGACGGTTGAACGATAATCCATTTTTTAATAGTTAAATGTTAGCACGTTCAGATGTTCAGTCTTCACTCGTCGCCCTTATGCCGACAAATTACTATTCCGTAAAATATAGGTATACCAGTAATGCAAAATTATTTACTGTTTATATGTTAACTATGAGATATATACTTTAGATACATGCATCCATTAATTTGAATTAACTCGATTCGTATTGAATCAATTCGAATTAGGGTACCTGTATTATACATGCGCGTCTAAAACCGCATTACTAATACACTCAACCAAACTAGTTTACGTTGCAACGTTTACATGTGCAGTTTAAACCGATTTAACTTAATTCGAATTAATCTAATTTTTCACCCATGAAAATATTAATTATTCCATTTGTAGTGAGCTCGTTGAATAGACGAACTAGATTATTTACATAAAATAACACAACGACAATTTGAATTATAATATGATATTTTAATAATTTCTATACAAGTAAAGTTTGGACTTCAGTTCTCCATATACGGATTACCTTAGTCTTTAACAAGAACAAAATAAAAAGTGAGGCCACGAGTAATATATTGGTTATCCTTGTATACTAAATTTTATTAATTAATCAGCACGATCCATATTATTAAATTAATCGCGTAATGTGATTGTTAAAGATTGTTATTTTTAACATGGATATGTCTTAATGCTGGGGGTTTCCGAAAATTTGTCGCGACACTGAGAATGTTGCTTATGCGATAATTTAAAATTTTATATTTATAAAATATGTTTGTTCTTTTAAGAAAATATGTGGTGAATTTTGAGTGACTCTAATAAAAAATTTGTTTATTACAATGTAGTTTTTATACTTTTAAAAAATAATAAATCATTAAAAAAATTGAGTTTCTTATTTTTTTGATGGTGTAAAGACTGTCGAGAAGTCTTATAGTGCTAAAGTAATTTTTTTCGTAATAGTGTGCTTCCTCCTTCCTTTCCACCCAAAAATCAAATACATAATCGGCTCCCTCCAAAATGAAAACCTATATACGCTACTGGGTATACCTAAAATAAACTTTGAACACAGACAATGATATCGCTTTTATGTCAGTTATCGGGACCAGACTATCGATTTAGAATCAACCGTTGAAGAAAACCTAAATAATATGTTCCCATGCAAAAATTTATAGTAGTAGTAAAGTATCTAAATATGATCATAATATTCTGACTTGGGTGTGTGTGTGTGTGTGTGTGTGTGAGTGTGCAGCGTGTTTATAATACGTTTATAGTGTTTATACAAACTATTAATATGATTTCCAAGTCAAAATTCTATAATATAAAAATGTTAAAGAAAAAACTGTGTTTCATGTAAAAGTTAATTTACCATCTGAGGTTCATAGAGGGGGTTCTACCCCCCCCCCATAGATACGTCACTGGACCACGTATAGAAAGCTTATGGATGAAAAAACGTTTTAGTGACTGGTGGCTGGAAATAGTTAATGTCCAGTTTGTAAAAGAAGACTGGATTGAAAATTTTCGTATGACAAAAGAAACATTTGAAAAAATTGTCCAGTAAGTTTCTAATAAATAAATAAATGTAATGCAAATCTGTAATTAATAGTATTAATATAATACATATTTTAGGGAGCTAACAATTCATCTTCAACCAAATAGTTGTCCTGTAAGAGCGCCTGTTGCAATTGATAAGACAATTGCAATGACTATTTACAAATTGTCAAGTTGTTGTGAGTATACGGTGGTAGGAAATGCTTTTGGAGTGCACAAAAGCACAGTTAAAAAATGTCTTTACTAAGTTGTTAAAGCTATAAATGCAATATTTCTACCAAAGTTTGTGAAGTTTCTTAACGAAGAAGAAGCTTTACGTATAGCAAATGCTGTAGAAAATAAAATTGGGATAGTACAGGTAGATAAAAATTACAAATAATAGAGAATAAAGTATCTATATAGTTTTTTAAATAGATATAATAAAAGTAAAATCGCAAAGTGTAACTTCACTTAATTTCAATTTTTAATTGTCCTACTAGTTACTACTGTAATACAGTACTATTGTCTATTAACTAATTATTTTTTATTATCACCTAATAAAATAATGAATATTTACAACAAAAATACATCAAATCAATAAATTTATCAATCTAAATAAACTTACAAAATTATTTTAACTTGTAAATTAATACAAAAAATATATTCACTATATATCAATCAATATACATTATAATTACCTCATCAATGTTTTTATGATCTTCGCGTTTTTTGCGTTTCAAGTTGGCCAAATTAGGTTTTTTCCGCACATAGCCTGAGATGTCCTTTTTTACTCAAACGCCAGTCTTTATTCATTTTAAAATTCAAAAAAAAAAATTACTGACGAGAAAAATTAAACTTGACTTGCTGAATAGTTGAAAACAACTAGTTCTATTTGATTTGTGCTAACATAAATTAATTTATTATGATCTATTTTATACTTTGCAATGATTGTAATTGTTACAATACATTATTATTTCAATTCCGTTGTCATTAGTTCTAATTGACTAATAATCGTTCGAAATGCGGGTAGTATTTAATATTTATGTTATGGCTTGGTACTAAATTCTTAGAAATGTTCTAACGCCCATACGCGCATGCACAGGTCAATGAACACGAAGAAAATTTACACTACGCTAATAAAATGTCAAAAACGCCAAAAATCTAGACAAAATTGGGAGACTTGGGATTGATGAATTTAAATTTTGAAAACAGATTTAATTAAGTCACTATGTTAGCTAGGGATTGACCAAAGGAATTTTCTATATTGTAAATAATATAATAAGATATTGACAATTTAAAAAAACAGAAATTTATGTATTTTATGTATTTAAGTACGCCATTAATTTTTGTAGTAATAAAAATTCCTTCGAACAAGTTTTAGTAAAGATGTTCAAGATTTTTAATTTGTTTTCAAAATTAAAATCCGTCAAACCCAAGTCCCACAGTTTTGTCTAGCTTATGACCTGTTTTACGTGATTTTTTGCATCGTCTACAGCCCCCTATATATATACTAAATATATAATATGTATTATATATTATATTATTAATATTATTAATATATCATTATTATCATTATTAATTTATCAATAATATTCTATCCTACGGTAATATTTATACACGTAGGGATGTAATATATTATTTACATAATTTTATATTTAGTAATATATTGTACTATTTGATAGATACTCAACTTTGATATTTCAATATAAACGAAAAATTAATGCTTAGGTTAGGTTATAATTATTTATATGGATTTTCTTTAGAGGTGGTGTACATTTTTAACGATTTTGGATTTAAATGGATTATCGCCGAAACTAGATTTCATTAAAATATAATTTTCTAACGCTTATAACATTTTTTTTGCGCTGTTCCGGGAAACTTTTTTGGTTCGCTGGAAAGAACAACTTCTCTAGTACATTATATTACATTTTTAAATCTTACATAAGTATACATATTGGAATGTTTATCAACTTTAAACCACTAAAGGCAGATTTCGTGATTTTTACCAACATTTCAAATTCAAACACTTATTTTTAAAAATTGTAATTGCAGATTTTTGAGATTTTTTTCACTCGAGTAAAAACAATATGTGAAAAACATTGTATTAAAATTTCAAATTTTTATGGCCAACCAAAATTTTTTTATTGACGTTCTACGAAAAAATAGGATAGTGGATAAATGATCGCGGGCAAATTAATGGCGGCGAAAGGATGGCGGCGAAATGATCGAGTCCGTGTCAGATGGGCCAATAAAAATATAAATTTTACTACATTTTGAAAAAAATCATTGTAATATAATATAATAATGAATTTATGAAAATATGTATTTATAGGCTATATCCCCAAAATATGTGAAGTAAGATTTTATATTTAATTTATAGATAAGACAAATCAAATTTCGACAGAATCCATTTCTTTATATAAAGTAGTATAATACATGCAACTGCATTAATCCACAACCCTAATTATCAGAATTATTACACATAATTTAATAGCTGTTACACATTGCACGTATTTTCAGTAACAACTTTAATAATTCTTCTGAAAAATTATTGTAAATTAGAAAAATTACAAATTTTTGTTCTTTAAAAATTGTTCCCCTTCTCTCAACATAGCATTGTATACCAATAATAGTGACTGAGTTTGACTTAAATAATTTTAAAGGTAGGCATATAACATATAACAATTAGTGTTTTACAAGTCATTAGTTAAAATATTGTTCGAAATATTGACTGTAAGTTATGGTAAAATAATTTTTATAGATTTACGGAGAATTTCCAAATTACTATTGTTGTACAAATTATTAACTGTCAGTGATTGTGAACGTTTTTCATTATTGGTCACAACTAGTTTTAACGTCGGCAAATTATTTCATCCGGTTTCATTATCGCGTTTTTACTTTTAACTACTTTTAACATTAATTAATAAGAAGAAATCTCCGATTTCAACAGTCGTCGGATTACCGTATTTCACGACTACACAACGCGTTTCTGTTTTATTTTAGAAATTCGACGCAATTTGTGGAACGGCCGTCGAACACCCGTGCCACGGTTTATTTATAATATCCATTTTCTGAAAAAGGGCATAATAAACGTACACGTAGGGCGCTGCGTCCATTTGATATGCTTGTTAACATACACGTATAATAATAACCAGAATAATATCTATAATATATAACATTATATATATATCTATATAGTTGCGATAATTGTTGTTGGACATTTTTGACGTATCGTCTTCGGATGTATTGTTTATTATCGTTTTATGATAACAATAATTATCGTCGCGAGAAACACATTGGTTGCATCGGTCGGCGGTTCTCGGAATTTGCGTTCGGCGACTTTAAAAATAATATTTTCACCGCACCGGAAAAACGATCTCGCGTGAGTGTGGTATTTTCGTTTCCTTCACCGACGCGTCACGTTGTGTCCCGTGAGCCAGCTAATCTGTTCCTGCCCTTCCACCTCTGGACTTGTGCTCATGGCCTAACCGTCCATACGCGACTACCGCTGACGGCCTAACACATTTCCTACTGTTCCGCGTCGCCTTCACATCATGTACGTGCAAGTGAGGTCGCTGGCTACTGGCAAGTCGGTCACGATACCCACGTCCCGGACCACGATGGTTAGAGATCTGAAAAAACTCGTCGAGAAGCGGTTTGGCGTGAACCCGGACAGCCAGAGGTTGATATTTTGCGGCAAACAGGTGAAATCCGAATTTTTAAAAAAAAAAATCCTAAGTTGAAACAATGTTTTTAATTATTTTTTATTATTTAATATTTAATATAATAATAATATTATATTTAATATAATTTAATATTTTTATAATTTAATTTTTATACTCGTACCACGCAACATTTTTCACTGTACGTGTACGTAGTGTAGAGCATTGCTGTATCGTATTGTTGTTAAGGCTGTTTTATTTTTGCTCGTTTTCGATGCCTACGAATAAGAGCTGAAAGTGTTGGATACGGACTTTTTTCGTGTTGATGGGATGGTTTTGAATTTGTGCCGTCCATAATCGAGACGTACGCACAATTGCGTACAATTCGGTATGCAATATTTTGTTTTCGATGTTTTTCATAATTTTGTTGGCAATGCAATTGACGTTCGCTTTATCGATACTTGTTAAGTACATTTTTACGAATATCAATAACTGAAACAAGTTATATTTTTTCCAGGTGCTTATACTCAACTTGATCCTTTTTTTCTGCAGTTTGTATTAACCCTTGACCCATACTTGAGTTATTATTTTTCAATTACATGTACCTATATGTATACCTATACATTAGTTGACACAATTTATCATTATAACATTAAAATACGTCAATATTGCTTAATGTTTTATTCAAATAGTGATTTTCAAATTTATTGTCAATAACAAAAAAAACACTATAATGTGTTTTATAATACATATTATGAATGTATAATATGTTTTATACGACACGTATAATTGGTTAGTTAGGTATTATAGTATAAAAACTTAGAAACTTCTCTAAAAATATATGATATTAGTATATTACAGATAATCCTCTTCGTATTTTCCAATAGGCAATAACATTAAAATTAAAAATAAGTGGCTGATTCACAGCTTATTGGTCGTGTTTGGAATTTCCGAGTGTAAGCTTACGTTTGTAATTTTATCTAAATTGCATTTATTTGTTAATGACAATTAAAACAATTTTGATACACTTTTTTTTGTGTCTGTGTTGTACTGCAATATTGATTTATTACGAAAAACTAAATATAATATTATAATGTAATGTATGTGGCATACAATAACATAATATATTACATTTAAAATCACATTATCGTCTTATATAGGTACCTGAGTATAAGTTAGATTTAAAAAAATTCTTAGGCACTTTCATAAGTTATTAAATGAAGTGATTTTTACATGCTGTTGCGTGCCGTCGTCCAATCGTAAAGATGTTGAAGATTTAGGAAAATATTCCAAATAAAAATACTCAATATAGTTAAACTGTTTATTTAAAATTTTTCTAAGTACAATTAATTAATTTAAAAGATGATCTGGCGTGGAGGTACTCGCTACTACTCGTATAAACCACATCTAAATATTGGTCTATTCCAGCGGTTCTTAAACTTTTTTTTTCGCGTACAACATGTGTATATTATCAGTCACGTACCATTAATTATTAAAAATAGAATCATACAAACTTCACATAGTTAAATATATTTATTTTAAATAAAAAGGCAGTAAAATACTAAAATAAAATTATTATTTATATATTACTACAAGTTTATTAGTGTTAATTAATATAATTAATATATGAGTTAAATATTGAATTTTTAATATCCGTTCTACCACCATGCGGCCTTTCGCGTACCACCATGTAGTCTTTTGCGTACCATTAGTGGTACGCATACCACAGTTTGAGAACCACTGGTATATTCCCAACCCCATTATATACTTAAGTCTCGTGGGAATCAATTGTGCCGCGCTATGTAAAAGTTGTTCCTGCTTATTATAAATAATTGATTACTTTAGTGACCTTGCTTATACTATTCGCACATCTCCTATATTTTATCGAGCTTCTTTTAATTGCTTTTTTAATATTAAAATTTAGAATGTAGTCATCTAGTTCATTTATAATATGTGTTTGTGTCACTTTCTGATTTTAATTAATAATTCCTTTCTATTTATAATAATATTATATTATTTGTAATCGTTTCCCGATGTCTATTTATGATAGATGTCGTGTCCCCCTTAAGAGTTGTAAGGGACCTATATCTATGTATGTTAATATATCATACTGATGCCTTTCTATAATATTTGTTTTTAATGTTTTTAATGTAAAACACATCTCAAAATGGGTCTGTTTGAGACCCCCTTATATATTCCAATTTCGTGTGAACTCCTTATCGTTCTCTATTTCATGACTATCCAACACAGGATTTGGTCAGTGATGTATAATTCCCATGTATGGAGTTGTTTTCTTAACAATCCAGGATGTGACTTAAGTCTTATTATTGTGGGCCTAACCTTGGATTATTTGTTACATATATATTTTAATATATTTATCTGTAGAATACTATTTTTATGTGGTCCATGCCTACTCATTATTATATGCCCCTTCACTGGTCATTAATTTATCCTAAATGTACCTTCTAGGTTATTTCTAAGCCTGCTCATGTGCATTGACTGTGACATCCCTTTATATATATATTGTGATTAAGATAACCTCCTGACTATAGTGTCTTTATGTATATTAACTTGTATGCAAGCCCTCGAGAAAGGCGAGGGCTTAATTCTTCTCAAAAATATTTTTAAAATACTATCAATATCTAATAAAATAAAATATTAAATTATTGATAGTGATATGGTTAAAACATATAATACTTATGTAGGTATCATTAATACATTTTTCTAACTATGAATTACTTATTTAAACTGTAAATTGAAAATTCAATCGATTTTAATTTTATTTTATTTTTACTATGCAACTTTACAAAATGTTTAACATGCAATTTTGAAGAAAAGATAACGTTTATTGATTAAAAAAAATTAGATCTTCGTACAAGATCATGAGTTTTAGTAACTGACCTTTTTAATGACAAAATTGATAAACAAATTAAATATACACTTAAAACTTTGGTTTAAATCAGCAGTCCTCAAACTGTGGTACGAAAATGACTACATGGTGGTAGAACAGTAATTAAAAATTTGATATTAATTTAAAAACACTAATAAGTTTGTATTAAATAATAATTTTTTTTTAGTTTTTTACTGCATTTTTATTTAAAATAAATGTATTTAACTAAGTAAAGTTTGTATGATTCTATTTTAAATTATTATATACTCAAGTGGTACGCGAAAAAAAAGTTTTAGAACCGCTGGTTTAGATAATTTTATGAAGCTTAATGTCAAATATTGATAACAAAGTAGGTTCTAGATGGTTATTTAACTTAAGTGTATACAATTAATGATTTAAGATTCTTTCCGGTAACTTATTTGTTTTATATTGTGTTCAGTAAAAAAAATTGTATCAGGGTTAGATCATAAAATTAATATATATTTTTATTTTACATTAAAAATATTTGTTTTTTATAATAGACCAAATTTACTTTATATACATATGTATTCTATCTAACATATATTTGTATTAGTATAATGTTAATGTTTCAGCTCGAAGATCAATATTCACTATTTGACTATGGTATAAATATAAACGATGTTATTCAACTGACTAGTAGAACACTGGAGAATGGTTTTCAAAACAAAATTATATCGAAAATTGATGATAATGTTGAAAATAATGCATCTATTGCGAATGGTTTAGTTGCTTCCAGTTCTGATACAGTTGAAAAAGTACATTTTTATATAATAATTAAAGACCGGATTTATATTTTCTTAAAATACCTTAAATATGATACTAATATTCTTTAAAAAACCTTCAAATATTCGAAATTATGCAAAAATAATCAACAAACATCAGTATAATATATATTACAAATTATGTTTTAATATGCATTTTTAAAATTTTTTTTTTTTACAACATTCTTTTAACTGTGAGGTATATAAGTAGTTACATATTATAATGGAATACTATTGTACTTCAGTAAGAGTATATAGTAAAAATATAACAGAATAGTCTATAGCAGGGGTCGCCAACATATTCAAACAAAGGAGCTACATTTGACATTTAATTCCCTGGTAATTGACATCCAGGAAAATTTAGGTCTTAAATATTTTAATCTAATGTTCCCATTATCCGATTGATCTGATTATTTTACGCGATCAACCGCTAGTGGTAAAATTAAATTTTACAATAATCGAATGGTTGGTGACCTTTGGTATACAGTATTAAAATTTAAAAACAGTATTCCTTTGGTATATTTTAATTAAATGTTGTATTAACACTATTGTCACAATATGAAAAAATAACAAATTATAATTATTTAATACAAGGTTTAAAATAACAATATAGGTATATATATATATATATATATAAAAAAACAATAGTGCATACAATGGTAAATATTTACTTTCTTAATAAAAAAGAAACTTGAAATACTATTTAAATGTTATTATATGAATTAACAATAATTTAATTTTCCATATTATCTGTACTTAAGTTGGTTCTTCTATCACTTAAAATTTGTTTATAGAGATTAAATGAACTTTCAACATCAACAGTTATTAGAGATGCAAACTTCATGTCAGCAACGACATTGGGTGTCGTTATTCTGGGAGGTCTTCATTGTTTCCACATAAAATGTTCCCAATTTTTATTAACATATAGTAACTTTTATTATTTGATATAATTGAGACATTTAAGTTTTTATTATGTTACCCTTTTTCATCAGGTATATTGGTTAGTGTGCAAACAGTAGTTTATACAATCTCCAATGATGACACAAAAATCAAATATTCTAAAATATGCTAAATGGACTAAATATTCTCTAACTTATGAAATATTCTCAAATATGCAAAAAAAAATTTCTACAAAATCAGAATTGAACGAATCATTCACATTTTTTATTCTCATAAAACTGCATAGACCCAGTAACAATATGCAAAAACATATAAATCCGGTCTTTAATAATAATTATTAAAAATCAATGAAAAATAATATAATTTTTTAGGATGATTTTGAAGAAATATCCGAAGATAGTTTATATTTTAAAGTCGGTGATTATGTTGATGTCAGAGACACCCAGCATGGTTCATGGTTCTTGGGCAAGTTAATTAAAATTAAAAAAAACTTTGATTTAGAAGGAAAACCGAACGATCCTAAGAGTCTAGTAAAAAACGATGGATTGGTTTATGTTGTAGCATTTGTAGGGTAAGTGTATTACGTTTTTTTTTTTTTTTATTAAGTTATCTTTTTCTCATAAGACTGTCTGTTTAGTTGTGATGATGATAAAATAGAAGTTCAACTTCAAGAAATTCGACCTCACGGTATGGAGATTGTGCCTTTCGAAAACTTAAAAGCAAACGATAGAGTTCTTATGAACTATAATACTGATCATCCTTTAGAACGCGGTTATTGGTTTGATGTCCTTGTAAAACAAATAAATTCTACCAAAAAAAGTCGTACTGTTATTGGAGATGTTTATGTTGGTATAAATAATGCTATAATTCGTAATTGTTATCTTAAATTTCTTGATGACATTTATAAAGTGAAACCTTATCAATTACTTGCTGAAAGGACCCCAGAAGATGATGAAATTATGCAAACACAACCGGCTGAAATGAGTAATATTTAAAAGCTGATATTTATTGGAAAATGTATTTATTTAGTTGTATGTTTTTCATGAAAAGGAGCGAACCCTTTAAAATGTATTGAATGTAAAGACAAATCATCTAAATTGTGTAAGGAATGTGGATGTACAATTTGTGGTGGCAAAGACCGTGAAAATGAACAGCTATTGTGCGATGAATGTGACAATCCTTTTCATATTAGTTGTCTTAACCCACCCTTGAAGGAGGTTCCAAAAGATGATGATTGGTTAGTGAAATAATAATTTTTTTTGAAATGTTAATCATATAATTTTTGTAGGTATTGTCCATCTTGTAAAGTTGATGAAGGCGAAATTGTAGAAGCTGGTGGTAAATTAAAAGATTCAAAAAAAAAAACCCCAGCATCAACGTCAACATCTAAACGGGATTGGGGTAAAGGTATGGCTTGTGTTGGTAGGACTAAAACATGTAATAAGGTACCTGCAAATCATTTTGGTCCTATTCCTGGAGTTGAAGTTGGAACCACATGGTTATTTCGTGTACAAGTAAGGTGTCTAAAAAATCATTTTTTCGGGCAATGTTAAACTAACTTAAAATATTTTTTAGGTATCTGAAGCTGGTATTCACCGACCTCCAGTTGCAGGAATACATGGTAGAGATAATCAGGGTGCATTTAGTATTGTTTTAAGTGGTGGCTATGAAGATGACATTGATAATGGTGATGAATTTATGTACACTGGGTCTGGTGGACGAGATTTATCTGGAAACAAACGCACTGCTTTGCAAAGTTGTGATCAAGAATTAACGCGTAATAATAGGTATTTCTAATAAACACTTATTTATTAAAAAAAATTCTTTTAAATATCATTTTTTGAATATAACATTTTAGAGCTCTAGCTCTTAACTGCAACGCAAAACTTAATGATATAAAAGGAGCAACAGCTGTTCATTGGAAAGAAGGCAAACCCGTTAGAGTTGTGCGAAATTATAAGCTTCATAAACATTCTAAGTATGCTCCAGAATGTGGAAATCGGTATGAACTATAAAATTAATTAAAATTTTATTTAAAAATAAAAATCAAATATCTTTATGGTCTGTGGTCAGTAATTAAGGTCTCCAACCTTTTAACTCAATTGTAATTATAAATACAAGTAATAAAATACATCAGTTTCCATATTCTAGATATGATGGTATTTATAAAGTTGTCAAGTATTATCCAGAAAAAGGAATATCTGGTTTCATTATATGGCGTTATGTTTTAAAACGTGATGATCCTACACCAGCTCCGTGGACAGCAAAAGGCAAAAAGCTATTAATTAAGCTGGGCCTTGATAAAATAATTGTAAGTTGAAAACTATTATAAATTGATCTACACATTCTTTACTTGATTGCTATTAATTTTTTTAATGTTTTAGTATCCTGAGAATTATATAACAATAGATGATGATGATGGGGTCATTGATGCTGATTCAAAACTCATGGGGTCCAAAAGAAAAAGTACAAAGCAAGATGCTCACGAGATAATGAAAGATAATGAATCAAATAACAATTCAACAAAGATAAATGACAAGGCAGACAATAATTCTGGGAAGAAATTAAAGATTTTGTATGAACTTAATAAAATAGAGAAATTATTCATTGATGCCGACATTGCCAATAAAAAATATTGGGATGACTGCAAGGAAATGTTGAAGAATGGAAAAAAAGTATAATGTTTTTTATTTAGTTAACCTATTTTATTTATAATTTTAAATATTTCTAATAGGCCTTTTTGGATAGAATTGAAGAAACTTTTTTGTGTATTTGTTGTCAAGATATTGTCTTTGAACCAATAACATTAGAATGTTTTCACAACATTTGTAAGGTAAGTACTTAATCATTTAGGTTATATATATATTATATTTTCTTATATTATCTCTGGAAAGGTATCCATTATCTTATGTTATTTTACACCAACATAGTTAACTCGAGTCAAAAAGATGCATTAAAAGTTGTTGTTGATTCATAGATTTTAATTTTGAATTTGCTTATTATCAGGGCTAGGATTTGTATGCAACAGCATGTTTTTTTTTGCGACTTCTGATTATTGATTTTGTCAGTAATGCCCACGAATCACCTCTTAATGAGATGAATGGTGGTAATTTTGTATGTTTTTGCATGTTTTGGATAAAATGCATATTACTGCATGTATTGAATAAAATTAATATTATTGCATATTTCGATTATAAGAATGCGAAAAATGAATGTTTTATAGTATATTTCATAATTAATATTAATAATTTTATATTAATATTTCGTATTTAATTCTAAACCAACTGATTAAAGTATAAAACTTGGTTTTTTTGTCAAGCATAAATTGTATTTCTGAATTTTAATAAGACGAAACAGCCAACCACTGATGTATTTCAATAAATATTTTTTTTTGTTACGATATTTTGGGATCAGTACATTTACCCGAAACTACACTTGCCCGACAATATATTTGCCCGACGCTACACTTGTCTGACAACCTCAAATTATATTTCAAATAAATATATGTCAACAATTATTAAAAATTTTAATAAAATATTATATTTTACCTATTATGTTATTTACAAATTAATGTTAAATTTTAAAATTATACGACTAATAATTGTGTCAAAAATTAATAATAATACAAACATACTACTTAAAATTTAATGTTATAAGCGATTCCCTTTAGAAATTATAAATATGATCGATTTCCCCTGCCATTTATAATTGCACTAATACGTTTTTCCCGTTCAGCGTATTCTTTGCGAGTATCTGCCCTTCCACGAGTTATATCTTCAGTTCTTTGTTCCATTTGAATTTGCTCTTTTTTAATTTCTTCGATAATTGTATAAACATCAACATGACATTTTACAACAACTGTTTCAAAACGTCTGTGCCAACCCTCTACGCGATTTTGAGTTCTAAGGATTCCCAATTCTATTCGCTCAAATACGGACCAAAATGTTGGTGGAAAAAAAGGAGCTGTACGACTTACATTACCTCCTCTCATTATCCTTCGAATTCTACCATGCACATAATTGTTCTCAAACCACTGCATTATCTCAAAAGCTTCTTTGGGAATAGTGGATTTCAATTCATCGAATGCTCCTGGTATTTCGGTAGATGGAAAAAAAGCAAGAGCAATAATCTGACGTAGTTTCAAACTAAATTTTTCATCTTCTCCATATCTTTTACTAATATAATTTGCTTGAATTTGACACCATACACTTTGCCCTAGATGAAAAAGACAACCTATACAATTAGTGTCTGGATATTCACATTTTATAGTATTTATAGCCGCTTGTTCAAAATCAGTTAAAATGAATTGAGGATTTAAATTAAATTCATTTTCGGCTATAAAATCATTTAAATTTTCAAAAAAGCGAGTATAACATTCTTCTGTTTTACTCGTCATTAAAGCATATACGAGAAGCAATATTTTTGCATTTTCTCCTGTTCTTACTACAGCATGGATTGTATATAATTGTTGAAAAAGTGTCGGAACATTTTTAAAAGTACCGTCCATGATTAATATCAACTTTTTTTCAAATGTTCAACGTTAGATTTAGTTATAAACAAAAGTATTCGTTCATTATCAAAGGATGTGTCTTTTACTAGGAAAATGTATCCTTTAATAGTTCTAAGGGGTAATGGTATATCTATATTGTTAATGAAAGTTGGTTGGATAGGTATATCTTTTCTGCGTACTCTTTATAATTTGGCGTAAAGCATGATTATTCGGCAATGATGGTTGACTTAGGCTAGAAACAGCATTGGTTTCAACTTGTATTATTTGTGCATGTGCGTCATTCGTCTCCACGAGCTTTTCGTTTCAAATTATGAAGAGTCGTGATAATATTTTTTCTAGTAGTTCTTTTGTATTTCGTAAGTTATGCAGTCCATTAATTAAAATAATACAAGCATAACCACCATAATCGAGGTTTTTCTCTTTTCGCAACACCAATAATACAAATCATCTCTATTTTTGTCTTTTGTCATTATATAACCATTGATAACTAGTTTTATACAACCTATAATTTGATGAAACCGTTTCATAAATCTGTGCCATCCTCCAATTTATATTAAAAAAATTATTAATATAGAATCAAACGGAATGAAATCAAAATAATATATAATAAAATAATGAAGTAGAATTTGTACTAAATGTAACCTATATCAAACGGTACTGTACTGTAGACTGAACTATCAAACGTCGCGCCAAAAACGTCGTTTTATCTGTCTATCGGCTATCGCCTAACGCTTTATTTGAAAATGAAAATCTTATCGCGAATAGCGGTAAAATACGATTGATAACCTTTTCACATAGAACGATATTATCCATGATAAAATGTTCGTCTGCTTTAGTTTTTTTTTTTTTTTTTTTGAATTATTGTATATTCATATTGTATATTAATAAATAATAATAATAAAATAATGAAATCGTAATAAAATATTGTATCATATATCAGTATTACGTATAGTAAAAATATGTGAAATATATTGTCGGGTCTCTGGCAAATGTTGTGATGTTGTGTCGGGCAAACATATCAGACCCAGAGGTGTATTTATATATTTATCGTTTGTAGGTCTGTGGAAAATTGCCGCCCTTAATTATGGTAAAATTAAATTTAACTAGGTAGGTATGCAAAATAAATTTTAATTATATTTTAAATACAAAAACATAATAATTAAAGTTGAAAAATATTTAAAAAAAAAAAGGAATTACAAAATGTTTATATACATTTTAAATGTCTTACATAATAAATTATTTATTAAACGATCAGTTTACGTCGAGATTTGGTTTTTGCAAATGTGTCAATTAAATCCTCGCAATTCAATTCTTTTAACATTTCGTTTTCTATCGAGAATAATGCTTAGCTATTTAACTTCTTATCAGTTTGAGTGGATCTTAAGTAATTTTTACTTGTTTGAGGCATGAAAACGATCTCTCAGTAGTACAATTGAACACTGGTACACTTACGAAAATTCTTAATGCAGTGTCAACATTTGGAAATATTTCAATATATAAAGATTTTTCTCTCTAATACTGACACAGTGTGATTGTAGTTAAACTATCGATGTCAATATCGATATTACTATTCAGTAAATAAGATTGCAAATATAAGCATTCTGACGAAAAAGTATTATCCAAATCATTCGGATACATTTTTTGCAATTTCTCAGCGAACTCGACTATTTTCAAAGAATTTAATGATGTAATTTTTAGTAGTACTTCGATTAAATCATAAAACGTTTTTGTAGGACTGATGTTTTTTTCAAGTTCATTGGTAATTTTATTAATAATAACGTAAAATGTTTCAAAACGAAATTTATATCCACCACTTAAAACAGTTTGTTCGGCTTTTTCATCGAAGTGTAATTTTTTTTTTTTTGTCGAGTTATATCAACATTGTACTCGGTAATTTTTGATATTTTTTTAGCTTTAGTCTCATATTCATTAAAATGATCTCGGGTTTTTTGTACTAGATTAATAAGTGATGTATAAATTTGAGAAACTATCATTTCCAATTTAAACACATTGTAGTTGCTTATTTGATGCATTAAATCTTTCTAATATATAATTCCAGAAAATTACCATAAATGATGTTTCTAATTTTTGCATTTGATTATAAAGACCATTTGATTCATTTCGCCTAGCACATTTTTCGAAAATGTCATTCTTGATAGTGACCAATGCATTAATAATTTTGTCTCACGAATTATATAATGCTCGACATGCGTCTGCACGAGCCGACCACCTAGTATTCGATTAACTCTTAATTGTATTAGTATTATGTTTCATATTTAATCGCAAAATAGACCATCTATGCGTTGATGCAGAAAATAAGTTGTATAATTGTTGTATAAATCCAAAAAACATTGATGCTTGTGAACAACTTTTAGCAGAAGATATGCCAACCAAATTTAACGAGTGTACGCTACATAGTACATAATAAACAAGTGGATTAATTTCTTTAATTTTTGCCTGAACTCCACTGTATTGACTTGACAAAATACTAGTATTATAGATATAGCATTATCTTAGCTATGCCCTCGACAGTCAGAAATGTCAATATCGTGTAATTTTAAAGTATTGGTAATGGCATTAGTCAAATCTAAAGCTTTATGTCCTGCATTTGAAACAAAACATAAGAATTGTTCTACAGGAAGACCTGTTTCGAGGACATATCTCACCATAAATGATAATTTATCGACGTGCGAAATATCTGGCGTCGAATCAATACTTATGGAAAAATATTTTGATATTTTTAATTTTTTAACAATATTAAATTTTAATTTTTTCATCATTAATAAAATAAACTCTTCACATATCACGTGAGATAAATACGATGTAGAGCCACTACCTTTATTTCCAAAATGAACTATATGATCGGCTAAAAACGGGTCAAATTTTGCGATTAATTCGAGTGACATTAAGTAATTACCATTGTTTACAGAATCAAAACACGAATCATGTCCTCGAAAAAGGAGTCCACGAGAAACTAACGATTTAATAGTTTCGACTACCCTCTTCAACACATTTCTCCAATATTCGATTTCTGTATCTAAATCAATAAATAATCAATACACCCCAAGACATTACTTCTGTTTTAAATTAATAATAGCATCTCTGTGCTCTTTACTATGTTCGTGGTAACTGAAACAGCTAATAGCATTTTTCCAATCATTAAATCCTTCAGTAACAAGTTGAGTTTCTAAAGATGTTTGAAATATACGGTAAGGCCCACAAAAAACTACTCCTAAACATGGAGAATAAACTAAACATGAACGAACAATTATTTCTCCATTAATCAATCGTCTATGAAACATAATGTTGGTCAAATATCTTGTTTTATCACAATATACATGTTTGGAGTTAATAAAGCCGTTTGTCATATTTTGATTAAAACCATTTTTTGCAACATAGTCGCAAAATTCGTCGTTAATAACCCATTTAACTGGGTCGGTCTCGAAAATGGTTTCATTTACTATCATATTATTAGTTAACTCATATGACCCATAACTACACCTTCAGGTTCAATATTGTCCACTTCAACAGATAAACTAATTGTTGTTTCACCAACCTGATTATCTGTTTTCTTCAGAATATCTATAGTGTTACTATTACTACTACCAGAAGTAGAAGCTGAATTTTTAAAAAAATCAGTCAATTGGTGTGTTTTATTTAAAACATTATGCAACTTTTCACTTTAATTTGGCAATTTTTTTGTATTGTTCACCACTTAACCGTTTTCTATTCATACTCGTATTCACAAAATAAATAGGATATTTAAAAAACAATCCAACAACGATATAATAAGTAGACAAATAAAAGTGACACAGCTACAGCGGTAAGAATTCTACACTACGCAATACGGCCAATACGCCCAGGTTGAATTATAATTATTATCACTTCTCCAGAAATAAATTAAGATATTTGTATAGAACCGGCGTGACGTCTTGATATTATTAGATTATACTATTATTGTCAATAATTGTTATAAATATGTGCTATAAACGGGCTCACTGGCCGCGGTGTGAATATTCCCAATAGACGGCGCGCGGCGATAAGAAACTATAAAAATAATAAATTCGAATTCGAAATTAATGCCATTGTTTTCCAGTGGCGGATCTACGGGTGTGGATATGGGGGATAGACCCCCTCCCCATAGACTGAGAGTTAAAAAAATTTTTTTTGTAACCAATTCAATTTTTGCATGCTCAATTTAAATAAAAACTATTATTTTATTATTTCGTTTTCATTATTTCGTAACCAAGAAGGATACACTAGTATACATTAGTATCTAACTTCATATCAGATTACAGATATACACCTCGTATTTATATCATGACCCGGAATACAGCCATGAGTAATGGCACAGTCATCAAAAAAATTAAATTTTGTTAATTTAATAGAATAAAGCTTATTATATCTATACATATTATGTACGAAAATATTTTTTATTTCCCCCCCCCCCCCCATGATAAAATCCTAGATCCGCCACTGTTGTTTTTTCAATCATTTAAAATAATCTTGTAGGTTGTTGTGGCTATTAGAGTATTTTACAATAACAGAAAACAATATAATAAGTCTTACCAAGTTAATATACAATACCATCATTATCGAAAAAAAAATTCCTTGAAAAATATGCCGCCTTTCAAAATTTGCCGCTGTAGGCACGTGCCTGCATATAAATACGCCACTGATCAGACCCCTATATTTTTGTATTTATCTTATAAAAATTTAAATGCATATTTTTGCACATTTTAGTATATAAAATGCCTATTTTACAATTTTTCATTGCATACAAATCCTAGTCCTACTTATGATCTGTCTTTCATAACATTCCTCTGAAACGAGTTTTACCCTGATGTGAATATTGATTATTTTATTTTAACAACAAAATTTGATGCAATGTTGCTGCTGTTTTTCTACAATTTATAATTCAAATTTAATTACTAACATTTGTTTCATAAGCTACATGTAATATTATTCATTATTCTTTAAAATTATCTTAATAATGTTACTTATAACTATTATTGCAAGTAATTCATATTGAATTGTCTAACATATTTAAACTAAAATTTTCATGTTTTAACATTTTATACATAGAAAATTATTCATATCTTCAATAGAATAAATTGAATAGAAGTTTGCTGTATTTTATTTTAACATTTAAATACTATTTGAAGCTTAACTTATTCCAGCCGTGATTGACACCCACAATTAATTTTATTTTTATATTGTTTTTCACACACACACACACACACACACACACACATATATATATATATATATATATTAGGGATGGGCAAAAAACATCGAAGTTTTTTAAATATCGATGGTTTGTTTTCGATTAATTGATTAAATATTGATGTTTATATTCGAATTTAAACATCGATGTTGATGTTTGAAAAGTTGTGACGAACACACGTTGTGAAGAAAAAAAATTGCAATGGATACATCAATAGGAGGAGAGTGGTAGTGGTGCGCAATAACATTGTTTTCGTGATACTGCTTTTAACTTATAAAATTTAATGTCATTAAAAAATAAAAATATTGATAAAATTCTAAGATTTGATAAACAAGTTCGGAAAAGTAAATAAGAATGAATTCAAACATTTATTGATCTATTTTTTTTTTTTTTTTTTTTTGATTTCCACAAAAAACGATTTCACTGAATTTAAATAAAATTATATGTGCTAATAACTAAAAAAAAAATTAACTATATGCCAAATATGCCAATACACACAAGACATGCAATAACATGCTCTATTCAACTTAAAATTTTTATTACCATTGTTTTGAAACCGATTTTCATCTCAATTAGCATATTTTTCAATGTAGCAAAGAAAACTTGCAAATGCATGAACTTACGAGCCCTGATTATAAAGTATTTAATATGTTTTTAAAAAAATATAAGTTAAATATTAGTATTTTAACTCTAAAATTTATTATTTAATCAAGAAAATAGTACACTGTACAGATAATAAGGTGTGCAACTGATGGCAGCTCTAAAGGGAAAAAATTTTTTTTCGATGTTTTTAAATTTCTATGGTTTTTCACCGATACAGCGAAACACATCGATATTTTAAAAATCGATGTATCGAATATCGATGTTCAAACAATTTTGCCCATCCTAATATATATATATTAGGGTGGTCCTTAATTTTTGAACTAAAAAATTTTTTATTTCTTACCCCCTAATTTTATTCATTACTATAAGAAAGTAATTCGGGTTAAATTTGGTCATGATTATTCACCCCCTTTCACGTGCCACAGGAGGGTTGAATGATAGTGAAAATGGTTGTCATTTTTTGACTATATTCAAAAAAAATATTGCATTTATCTTAAAAATGTATAAAACATATATTATAGATATTTATATATTAATAAAAAACATATTCATACAATTTCTCATAATTTTAAACCAAGAAAAATATTTTATTTATTTAAAAAAAAACGATTTTTTACAGTTATTTAAATATATTAAAATTATGGTTGATGATACGAAAAAATATCTTATATACAATTGATAAAGAATTTGATTTCCTAAAAAAAAAGTTAATTAGCATACATTTCATTGAATTGACTGTTTTATTGTAACAGTCAGGTTAACGTAAAAAAATGTAATGTTTCTAAAATGTTATTATGTTAATTCAAGAGTTTCATTATATAATAATAATAATAATAATAATAAATATTTAGAAGAAAATATTATTGTACTTGATGTTTTATAACATGTGTAAATTAATAAATATATATTAATTATATTATATTATTATATATATATATTTTATATAATGTGTGGCAATGGGTTCTGATGCATTTCAATTTAAGTTAATTTATCTTAGCATATTAGCCATAAAGTTATAGAACAAATTGTATTTTATTTCAACGAAAATATATATTTATTTATTTGCATTAAAATCACTGATTTTAGTTGGATATTATAAACTTTAACTCTATTGGTTTATTTTATCTATTTGACAGTAATCTTTAAATCATTAAAACCCATCCCTCCTGTACCCTTATAATTTGTTAAAACTAATGAAACTAGGCCATTAACGATCTTTTTTACAAACTTAACCCTTGGGTTTATTTATGTATTTTAAATAAGTATTAATATTGGCAATTTAATATTTAAGATTATAACTGATAATTTTAAAATATTTTATGTTTTACTGAGCCTTAAATCATTTTTAGTATTTTTTTAGTTTATAAACATTTTTTTTTTTTTTTTTATAATTAACTGTGTATTTTATACTTCAAAATACATTTCTCTAATATAAATATTTTCTAGGGATGCTTGAAAAGATCGTTCAAAGCAGAGGTGTATCAATGTCCATCTTGTAGAGCTGAATTAGGGAAGTTTCATCATATGAACATAAATACAAATTTGTCTAAAACACTTACACACTTTTTTCCAGGATATAATGTAGGACGCTAAAATGTTTAAAGTTTTATTTCATCAATAATCATACTACTAGTTAGCTATAATATTTTTCAGTAAAAGCACAATTTTTTTTTCATAAATTTAATGTTTTTCAAATTATAATTACCATACCAGATACCATGGTTTTATAGTACATATTATAAGATTTATATATTAATATTATTTCTTAAAGTAACATATTTACAGTTCATTAATGAAATTATTTTATATTTTGTTGTAATTTATCGATTTATCTGTAAACATGATTTTTTTTAACACTAGTAAGTTATAATCTATGAATGTCAAGAATGAACTTTGCATATAAAGGATTATATTATTTGATATTTTTATGTTTGCATTGGATCACATATTTTAAATATTTTACTAACACTTGTTTTGAGATGATTTTTTTCAGATTAATTGAATTATATGGGAAAAAAGTTAAATGAAAACTTCTTTGTTTCATTATTTATTAGTTATAAATCTATTAGCATTGATTTTAAATACTATCGATTGCTCACTGCGCTCACTGTTCATATAAAATTAGAAAATATTAAACCTTACACCTACATACAAAGATAAAAACTCGTTTACAATATCTATGATATTAACTCGAACACATGATTAAGGTTTATAATCGCAGTAATATGATATAAAAAATGTACAATCTCGAGAAACATTACTTTTATTAATAGAAGTTTGAATAAAAATTGTATACATTTTTCTTATAAAAACTTATTAAGTCTATACTAAATTAAAAAATGAGTTCTAATGTACAAAGTAAGTTGATGATTTATCACAATTTAATTTTTGCTTACTTAAATTATGGTCCAATAGATATATAGTGTAAAATAAATTAATAAAATATAATAAACTCTAAACTTTAAAGGTATGCAGAAAAAAGGCGTTTTATTTGTTCATATTATTGTAAAACAACTCTTATAGTTTTATAAAATAAAAGTTTTATTTGCATTTATTTGCCTTAAATATATAAAATCTTATAGATTATTTTTTTTAAATATTTGATTAACCAAGTTAAAATAACAAGTCCATATCTTCTGAATAAATTGATTAGAACTTAACTTCATTATTGATTTTAAATTGATTCTTAACATTAATTTCTAAATAAAGATTGATGTCATATAGTGAGAAAGTAATTTTTAAAATATTTTTTTATTTCAAATTTGTTTATCTAAAAATCAAATATTTTTTCAGAAGAGTCATTAAAAAATCATAATATATATAATTTGTTTAGTGCATTAAGTAAAGGAAATAAAACTATTATCAAACCATGTACTAGAGGATCAAAACAACGACTTTTTCATTTTATAACATTCAAAATTCTTAAATGGGATACTCGGGAAGAAATCATATTGATAAAATGATATGATAAAATTCTAAAAAAATAAATATCAAGGTTTTGCAGTTCTTTGAATAAAAAATGGAATTTGGATAATAGGACTAAAGGCACATTCATTAAAAAAAATTAAGATAAGTTGAACCTTATACTTCAATTATTTTATATTACAACCTTCATCTTCGGTTCCTTCTACTTCTTCTAATTCTAGTTTTACTCCTATCGTCGAAAGACCAATAAAACATTCTTCTGATAGCAGTAAATTAATTAAGAGACGTAAGATACAAAATCTGTTATTAGAAAATTTAAATAAAAAAATACTTTACACCGTTAGAAATATTTTGTATTCAATTGGAAATTATACAGAAAATGATCTTTTAAAACAATCAACATCGAATTCTCCAGTGCATTGAAAATTAGACAGACATTTAATAATTCTAGAAACAAAAATATTTTATTGTATACCGATGATGAAGCTTAAGCGTTTATTGTTGATACAAATATGACGAAAAATTCTTATATATCATAATTATGAAAAAATTAGTAGTAGAACGCAATGTAGATATTTATCCTTCCTACGATAAAATTAAAGTTGTTAAATATTGAAGTTAGTGAATTCGATGTAACTTTGCCTTAACAAACCTTAGTAGATCATACAACTGAAAGATTTATAGAAAGTTTAAATTTTAACTGCCAACATTATGATGGGTTAATAAAGATCGATCTATACATAAAATAGGGTTGTGATGAAAGTCGGACACTCTGAATATCACTAAAAAGCAAGTCAAATAATAAGTAGAAAATGAAAGAGAAGGAAATGGGGGCGATATTAAACATGTGTCAATTGAAGAAGTGGTTGAAATAATAGTTAACAAAAATGTAAAAAGTGACGGGAGTTTATTTTTAATTTTCTTAGTACCATTAAAATTCGTGGTTACAAAATCAAATCGTCATTAACGCATTATTTTTGGCCTATTAAATTTATTAATGAAAAGGAAACATTTGATTTGATTAGAGGTGATGTACAGAAAACAGAAAATGAAATAAAATATTAAAAACCATTAAAATTGTTTAATACATTTGAAGCTAATTTTAACTTTTACTTAATAATGGTTGACGGTAAGGTAATTCATTCTTTGTGTAATATATCAAGTTAAATCTGTTTTATTTATAAGTGTTCTCCGAAAGACATAAATAATTTAGAAAAAATTTAATTATTATCCTGTAATGAAAATAATTTTAAGTATAGATTATCTCCATTTCATGCGTGGATAAAATGTTTGGAGTTGATGTTGGGAAGGGGGCGTTTTTTTTTTTTACCTGGGTCTCAAAATTCCTAAATACGTTTCCGATATTAATTATTGTGAGAGGTAAAATGTGTTTTGTTTATTTTCACTCATGAGTGGTTGTTTTAGCTCTGTCGTTGATTATAAATACTATATCGTATTATATTTTATTTATACCCAAATAACACTAGCTATTTATTTTCAAATTACCTACTTGTTTTGAACTACACAGTACTAGTAGTACTGTAGTAATAATGTCACCGGTTGTAAATTTGTATGTAAATAAAAACAAAACAGCTGGTTTTAATCTGTAATTAAAGCTTCACTTATCCTTAATGTATGTATAAAACTTTATTTAAATCTTAATTCATATAATTATTACAAAAAAAAAAAGAGAAAGTTTAAGTACAATACTATATTGTATATTGTAAATAATACATTACTGAAATTATTCCTGGAGAGGGTTATTCACAGTTGTTAACACGATTGTAACTATGCATTACTAATGACAAAAATTGATTCAGGTCCATTTGTATGTTTATTCCCAAATAGTTCGAATAATCTGCAATAAATAAATATTTAAAACTGATCATATTAAATATAGGAGTGTTACAATTTAATTTAAATATGTAAAGAAAAAATAAATAATAAAAATTATATCTTTATTTTATATTGAATAATTGTTTAATAAATATTTCCAATTGGATGGAATACAAAATTATTCGGGCTCGTTTATTGTGGGCAAGGTCGTTTTAGGCTATGCAAGGATCTATGGACACCAGGAGCTTAGGGGTTTTTTTAGTAAACCAAAAAAAGGTGAGTAAAAACATCAAAAGCTTATTTTGTATGATGACTTTTATGTAGCCGGAAGATATGAGTTATTCATTTTAAAGAAAAATCTTTTTAAATAATGGGATGAAAAATGAAATATACCTAATACTCACAATTAAGCGTTCATTATTTATTTGACATTAACATTATAACATTGCTATTTATTTAAAACATTTTTTCTACAATTAAGAATTTTTTTTATAGCTAGTCGTATCGTATTATTTTGTTGCAGATTAAAATTCAAAGTTGTAATTTTAATTTTTTGAGGTCCCCAGCCAGATAAAGGGGCGCTGAGCACGTGCCCCAAGTGTCCATAGGGTAAAGATAGAACTGATTGTGGGTCTGTAGATATTCGCTATGTGTGGGCTCATATTTCTGATTACATACTGTTTTATAAATGTATACACTAGAGGTGTAATGTATATTCGAATATCAGTATTCTATGCTACAATACCTATTATTATTAAACGTATTGTGTTGCACGAAAACTAAAACGAATAATTTTCGTTACGTATTGCATTGTAGCATCGAATTTTGATATTCGAATGGGCGAATATTTGAATTATTTACGTTAGACCTATTCGAATACTCAAATAATTCTCATCACTGGTATACACCACTATAGACTTGTTGGAAGTATTTTTAATTGGGAATATATCACAGGTAAAGAACTAAATCAATATATATTTGTTTGGCGATTGAACTTCCAAATCCCCCTGCCCCAATATGTATTTATAACTTAGATTATTCACGATTATTATAATCGTGAATAATCTAAGTTATAAATACACTATAATAGTGGTGTCTAATTGTTTATATTTATATTTAGACAGGCGCGTATCCAGAATTTTATTTTGTGAGGAGCCGATCAAAATTTATAACCGTAGTCATATAGTAAAACAAAAAAATATAATTTAATGATTTAAATGTATTAAAATCTATAGGTACAATGTATTAGCCATTAATTACTAAGTAATAAGTTTTAAACGTTTGGCTCTTCCACTATTAGCAAACTTATCTAATACCATATCATCAGTTATAAAAATATTTCTATGAATATTTGATAACGCTAATCTGAGACGATTCTCTGAAGTTGAGTTTCTCAAATATGTTTTTAAACTTTGCAGGGTTAAAAAAATGCGATCAACAGATCTAATTGAAATGTCAGCAGGATTTATAACAAATATTTTCAATACCTAGTTAGTAGATATGGGTCCAATGTTTTATCACAAGAAATTAAAGCGTCTGTGAAGATAGTAGATCTTGATGATGGTACTACCCATTTAAAAATTCTTAAATCGTGCCACATTGTGGATTAAGCTGCAGCTCAGCGATTGTGATCGACCGGTTTATAAATAGTATCTATGATTTCGAGTATTACCTCCCGTGGTGAATTTTGTTAATAAGCGGTAAGATTAACTAACAAAATAAAAATAGGAATTTAAAATCAATAAAATGAAATTTAAAACTCTTGCAGCGACTTTCATAGACCATGAAAATATTTTTTAGATTTTCTTTAAATTTCGGGTGGGGGTGGGGGGTGCCACATAAATACGCCCCTGTGTTAAGAAATAGTTGTATGGGCATTTAAATTTCTATATTAGG